TGCATGCATGCATGCCTGCTTGCGTACATACATACATATACATGCATATCTGCATACATACATACATACAGGTCGACAGACAGACAGATAGACAAACAGACAGGCAGAAAGACAGACAGAGAGGCAGGCAGATGCATACGTATATACATGAAAATATGTACATATATTCATAGACAAACATACATAGATACATACAAACATGCGTGTATCTACATGCATATATATATATAGTATATCTACATTTATGTGCATATCTTCTTTACGGGTACACACATATACGAAGACTTGCATATATACATGCGTACATACATACGCAGGTACATGCACACACTTCATACACACATAGATACATACATACATACATACATACATACATACATACATACATTCATACATACATTTATACATGCATGCATACATACATACAAATACTATCTATATCTATATCTGTATCTGTATCCAATATCCATATCTATATCTGTATCTACATCTACATCCACGGCTATGTCTATATCTATATCTACACGTATATCTGTTTCTATACACAGTATATATATATATATATATCTGTATATATATATATATATATATTGTGAGGGGTGTACATGTGTGTGTAGCCATGCACTACTACAGCACAACTACACACCCCACAAGCAGTTAGACTGTTTTAACTGTCTGGTGCGTAGTAGGGAATGGGGGAATGGATCCCTATGATAGCTAAGGTTCCTTATAGTAGTCCCTAGAACCCATTCCCCCATTCCCTACTAAGCACCTAGACTGTTTTAATGGTCTCCGTGCCGCGCCTGAGCTGCAAGCCGGCCACGGGCTTGGCCTTCACCGACCGATACCTGGCATTCGCAAGGCACAAGCGCGAGAGGCTGGAGTAGGCAATGCGGCTGCAAGCACAGCATCGCAGAGCAGAAGATATAAATCTGTCGGCCCGACGTCATCCGTCGTGAGGTCTCAGTTGCTGCTGGAGTTGCTCATGAAGCAGGAGGGGCTTGAAGTGGAAAGTTGGGTTTTCGCGACGGGGAGTGTCACAAAGTGCAGCAGAATTGTCAGAATTGGCACTGTGAGGGTTTCTAGCATTGGCAGCGCAGGTTGAAAGCATAACGTTTTGAGTTCAGGGTGGAGGGATTTTGGTTTTGAGTTTAGGGTTGAGAGTCTGGGGAGTTCAATCCCTCAGCCTTTTCAAAGTAGAGCGGGAGCCACTTAGCATCAAACCTCCATCCCCAATTACCTACATCCGAACGTGTCAGCAGGTGGTGCTCCAGCTGCCTTAGTGCCTGGCGCTATTGTTGAAGGTCTCCTCGTGCGTTTCCTCGCCTCGGCTGCCAGCCGCAGCCACACCACACACAGGCATCTGCATCTACGCGGATGCACTGCAGTGCCCATACACACATACCCGCTCACCTACATGCATACATACATACATACATACATACATACATACATACATATGTACTTTCATACATACGTTCACACATACGTACATACACACATACATACATTGACATACATACAAACATTCATTCATTCATTGATTCATTCATTAATTCCTTCATTCATTCACTGATTCATTCATTCATTCATGCATTCATTCATTCATGATGTATTTCTTTCATTCGTTCACTCATTCATTCATATGTACACACTTGCATACGTACATACATACATACATAAATACATACATACATACATACATGCATACATACATACGTGCATATCACATGCATGCAGTTGTTCGTTAGTTCCTTCCTTCCTTCCTTCCTTCCTTCCTTCCTTCCTTCCTTCCTTCCTTCCTTCCTTCCTTCCTTCCTTCCTTCCTTCCGTGCTTCCTTCCTTCCTTCCTTCCTTCCTTCCTTCCTTCCTTCCTTCCTTCCTTCCTTCCTTCCTTCCTTCCTTCCTTCTTCGCTCGTTCGTGCGTTCGTTCTTTCGTTCTTCCGTTTATTCATTCATTCCTCAATCCATGGCCTCATGCCTTCGTAAATTACCGTGCACATGTGCATATACAGCGACACATGCACCCGTAGGGAGTCAGAATGAGAGAGAAGCAACCCCAATAAATCCTGAATCCCTTAAACCCCATGGCCGTTCCGAAAGCATGATCCAGGTGCGACGCGCATCTCGCTATCGGCAAAGAGCTGCCGTATTCTGCTGCTCCTCGCAGGCGGAGATCAGCAACTGTCTGCAGCTCAGTTATAGTCTCCTTTTTGGCCTTCACCTTGAAGAAATCGGCACTTGCAAAAACCACTAATTATGTATGTTATATATATATATATAGATGTATGTACGCAAAAAAAAATATATATATATATATATATATACATATATACATATATATTTAATATATACATATGATACGTAGACATATGCACATACAGGCACCTATCTATCTATCGATCAACCATCCATCCATCCGGGGTGGCAACCTGCAAACCCACGCACGACGGACTAGGAGCATGGCTCTTGGGCCTTCTTGCTAAGTCAAAGGCGTCTATGCGGAACCTCAACGTGCCATTAGCCGTCTTCCGGCTCGACAGCTTCTGGAGGAAGGGTCCCAGGTCTGAGGCGTACAGTACTGGTGAGGATCGTGATGCAGCATGAGTCCAAAGCTGTAATCATGAACCCTAAAACCACCGCTAACAGCAATGGAAGCTGTTCGCAGCGACCATGACAAATAGCAATAAGAAGGATCCGCTGAAGAAAGCCCGTGGCGCCTGGCCAAGTCCTTTGGAGATTTCCCAGCAGCATCACGAGCAGTGCTCTTTGCACCTGGCTAGAGTTGCTATCGCCATGGTGATGTCCATTCTCGTCGCTGTTGAACTTCTGTTCGCTGAAATGCTGTTGCACGCCAGCATAGTAGAAGTAGTAGTAGAAGTAGTAGTAGTAGTAGTAGTAGTAGCAGCGTCGAGATTCTAAGCTGCTTCTCGGCTGCAATCATCCGAAACCAAGCCGCTGTTGTTATTACGTTTTGGTCAGAGCTGACTGTGCTGATCGGCATTTCTCTTGTTGTTCGACACTTATGTTTTGAGCAGATCCATGCAGTGTTGTGTTTTTTGGGTTTTGCTCTCGTGACATATCCTGTAGGACCTACAGCACTCAGGTCCCGGCCTTGCTTCAGCAGCACCTTGCATGCTTCCACCTGCACAGCAGTAGTGACGTTCAACCCTGCCACACTGGCAACAGCGATGGTGCTACAACAATCCACCACCTCCACCACCACCGACAACGCCTCAACAACTGAAACAGCAACGATAACACGACTTTAAACAAATCGGAATTTCCTCGGCTGCTTGGCAGAAGCAATACCATGGAGAAGAGCAAACCCAATGGACACGCCACCGACACAAAGGGCTGCCTTCTGATGCCGCACGGCAAAATGTAGAGCCCTGACAGAGTGCAGTGCGACAGAGCTCTGACAAGAGGACATGCTTAGTATCTTAGACCCAACATCCATTCTCAACAAAGTCACTGAATCAAAGTCTCCAGTTGGGGGGCGTGAAGGTTGCAAATCGGCCCCTCAACCGACACGCGATTGGGAATCTTCCAGTATAGATACTCAAGTTCCGGGAACCCGATGCTAAACCGTCAAATCGGAACACCTGACGCCCTCAAAAACCTTCCTAAGCCCTCCTAGGACGCTCGAGCTGGCCAAGGCCCAGACGTCTCCTCAGAGAAGGCCGTGTGGAGTCCAACTCTTGCACCGTTGTGGACTAGCTCTTCGATGACCTCCGGGGCCCCGGTGGTGGTGGTAGTGGTGGTGGTGGTGGTGGTGGTGGTGGTAGCCGTAGTAGTCGTCGCAGCAGTAGGAGGAGGAGCAGGAGGAGGAGGAGGAGCACTGGTAACTGGGATTACTATGATTGTCATTAGCAGTGGTAGTGGTCGCAAGAGCAGGCAGCTCCAGCTGCAGGACGGTGATGACGTGTGCTTGCAGAAGATGGTGCTGACCACGATGATGAGCAGCATCATATAGCATCATATCCCAATCATGATCATCGTCATCATAATCATCATCATCGCGAGGATGTTTACGATCTGGGCCTACACGGGTGCAGCGACGGAAGTGTCTGCCAACGGTGCAAAGCATCCACCTCCACATGCCCTGCAGCAGCCGCCAACATGAGAGGCCTTGCCGTGGAAAGGGGAGATGGCTAGTGATCGTTCACTCTGCTCTCTACTGTGCCAACGGGACATATGAATCACGAGAAGCAGCAACAACATGGCTAGATGTCATTCATTCTGCCCGACTTCACGGAACTAACTGCATCCGAGGCACGTCATCCCGCGCCCGTCCTTCGCAGTCGCATTGACATCTAGAACCTGCAACAGTATGAAGAACTGTCTGTGCACTGACAGCTTCTGACAGCTGGAGTCAAGGTGTGCCTGCCCGTTCTGGTCCGGCTTCAGCAGCTTCCTCACAGCCCCAAGTCATGCAGAGTTTTCACGGCATGCAGGTTCTTTATCGAGGACACTTCCAAACTTTGCGAAGGTGTGGGGGAGATGAGGCTTGAATGACCCGCAAAGGCCCCCCCTCCCTCCAAGACCGGCGAATTTCTGCAACCTACACCTACCTCCTATCTCTCCCGCTGGTGATGCCTAGTGTGCCGGGGCCTTGTTAGAGGAAGGTCACCATCCAAGGCAGCGGTGTGGAGGTCTTGACCCAACTTGGAGATGGGCCGGGAGATCCTGGAAACATCAGAGGAGTTACCGGTGAACACGAGTAGTTCCTGTGGGCTCCGCACCGGACGGAGTAGTGGACGAGTCCAAAGATATAGGTCCTCAGCCGGCTCATCGAAAAAGGCCAGGTCGTGATGGCTAGCTGCTTTCTGCCGTGAAGAAGCCATTTGGCATGAACCAGGCCATCGTAGAGGCTTCCATCCTTCTCTCTCCAGAAAACCTGAAGCTCTTGACATCAAGCAAGGAGTCGCGCCGTGGTCGACTGGTGGACTATCTGCACTCAGGCTGCACATAGTGTGTGGCAGCATGTTTGGAATGACTACGGCATCCTGAACTGTTCCTGCAGAGTTCCCGGCCCAGTGATATACCTGAGCACAGCCGACGATATGGTGCATGTTATCCGGACTCCAATGCTAGGCACGCTTCCCGGTTACACAGCGGCAGAAGTATCTGCCAAGGTGCACCAAGAAGAGCAAGCAGCTGCGTGAGGCGGAGCAGGACCAACCTGTGTTGACGCTTATGGTATCTCGTGCTGCCCTTGCCATGCAGCATGCATGCTCCGCTTGCTACTCCAAGTGCTCTCTGAAGTCCAGCATCCTTCCGCTTCCCAACATCGCCATGCCCATGGCCTCCGGCTGATTCGCCGAGCCTGAGCTGCCAAGGCCACCGTCAGAAAGTGCAGCGGCTAGGGATTCGCTAGCTCCCCACCACGAAAAACACTCCTGGCTATCAATCCCGCACTGGCGCTCCCTGCCAAGTGATCGAACGTTTGGTGGCAGCTTTTCGGAGCTGCGGACAGGAAAGGAAGAAGAATAGTAGTTGTTGCGGATGATAAAGCGGCAAGGGCCCACAACTTTGTGGAGCAGCTATGGTATTATCCAAGATGGGGTGCAGTCTCGCAGAGCGACAGTTTTAAGATCCTGATCTGCCCTAGGCTTGGCTTCCGTTCTGCGCAGGGTACAAGTGTACAATCGCAGCAGAGGTAGTAGGAAGAGTGGGAGTGTTAAGACTGTGAGGGTGGTGTAAGAGCGCCAAGCCTAAGAAGACTTCTGAAAGTCTTCTTCGTGTGAGGTCACCAGGGGGCGGAGTTCGGCTTGGCTTGGCTCGGCTCGGCTTCAGCGGCGGGGGGATTACGAAGACTCTACCCTTCACGAAAAGATGCTCTTGCCCAACGCATGTAGCCCGTTCTTGGGATAAGTGGATAGACTTGGGTCGGGCAGGCAGGCACACAGGGGCCAACGAAAACATGCTGTTCAGTTTCCTTGAGACAGAAGGGATTGAAAGCAAAGTGAGTTGATTTGACAAACTCTGAAAGCGTTGTCCGTTTGCACAAAGTTACAAACGTAGGGGCTTGAGAAAAATGGAGCCCGAGTTGCTTTGCGCTGAGGATAATAAAGGAGCAATTCCACATCCTGCAGCTCATGGCATGCTCATGCTACCCTAAAACCCTACACCCTAAAACCCTAAGCCCTGAAACCCTAAACCCCGAACACTACACCCTAAAACCCTAAACTCTAAAACCCTAAACCCTAAACCCTACACCTAAAACCCTAAACCCTAAACCCTACACCTAAAACCCTAAACCCCAAGCCCTGGCGCAGGCCAAGAGTCTGCTAAGGAGAAGTTGGGCATGTCAATGAAATGGCCCAGGTCCGCCACCAGCCTAGGGTTCAGGGTATAGGGTTTAGGGTTTAGGGTTAAGTGTTCAGGGTTTAGGGTTTAGGGTTTAGGGTTTAGGGTTTAGGGTTTAGGGTTCAGGGTTTAGGGTTGAGGGTTGAGGGTTTAGGGAGGCTCATGGACTCAGATTTTGAGGGCGGGGCAGGCCAATGCCCGTGAAGATGTGCACCACGGCCCCTTCCTGTGGCGGCGCGGAAGCCCGCAAAAGCATCGAAGTCCAGGCGGCTGAGGCTTCCACCCTCTGTGGCGAGTGCTGAAAGAGGAGATAAACTCCCAGACCTGAGACAGGAAGCCGAAGACGGATCAGGGAGGATCGGGCTTCCGGGCGCTGCGGCGCTGCGCTGCTCTTTTCTGTCCACATGCTTCTGATGCCGTCGCCTTGGACTCTGAGTGAAACTGAAACGTGTCCTCTTCGATCGCTCAGATCTCTCCGGACTCCAGCCAGGCGTACTCAAATGTGAAATCCGCCTTGATCCGCTGAGCCCACTGGCCATCGAAGTCGAAGAACACGTAGGTTCCACGCTCAAAGTCTGGTGCTGTCAGCCTCGGCTCCTCATGCCGTTGAAACCACGTGAGGTACTTGGTGTGATAGCGCCAGGAAAGCTTCTTGAGCTCCTTTGCAGCTAGGTACTGATGATAGGTGCCTTGCTGATGGTAGAAAGACCAGAACAAAGTGTCCTGATCAAAGCGTTCGAAGAGCGCAGGCTCTTCGAAGCTTCGGATTGAGTCTGTGGGGTACACGGGGCTGCCCTGGCTATCATGTTGCATGTGATACTTCTGGGGCTGGTACTTCCTGTTCCTTCGAACGTCCCCGGCTTGGGGCATGTGCCGTGCGGAGGACTCTAAGAGCGCATGAGCCTTCTCCTGTGCTTTGGTGAGAGGTGGCACGTCGTACGCTGTTGGCGCGGCCGGGGCTCCGGCGTTTGCATCAAGTGGCGCCACGGCTGGTGCAGGAGCCGGCGCAGGGGGAACGGCTGGAACAGCGGGTACGGCGGGCATCACCGCCGCCGGCACAGCAGGTACAGCTGGAACGGCAAGCATGGGAGACTCCTGCGGCTGAGCTGGCGGCGCTTCGTTGGGTGGGGCTCGGTTGATTGCTGGTGGTTTTTTGGGTCCAGGCTGCTGCGCCGGCTGTGTGGGCGGTGGCGGTGGAACGCTGGGCGGCTCAAGTGGGCTGGCGTTGTGGTTGGGCATGGCCGGCACAGCAGCGGTCGGGGGGAGAGTGGGAGCTGGCAAGGCCCTGGCCTGCAGCACGGCGGTGGCGACGGTTTGCACTTCAGGCTGCGGCGGTGGCTGGCCCTGTACCACTTGGGGTGGCTGCTTGGGAGGCGGTTGGGTGGGCTGGGGGGGCTGAGTGGGCTGGATGGTGGGGCCCGTCTGAGCCAGAGCTTGGGCTGGTGGAAGCTGCGCCGGTGGAGGAGGGTGGTTCGGCAGAGGAGACGGCACAGGGGGTGGCGAGGCCGCCTGCATCACAGCTGCTGCTGCAGTCGCCGCCTTTGTTGCGATCTGCTTGGGAGCCGCCGTCTTTGCCGGAGCACTTGCGCTTGAACTCGGATCTTCGGACTTCTCCTCGACCACGGGCTTGTGGACCGGATGCACCGAAACAGTCGGGGCGGGCTTGGGCATATGCTTGGCCGGCTCAGGCTTCGGCTGCTTGATCTCCTCCTTCTTCGGCTCCTCCTTCTCCTCCCTCTCATCATCTTTGTGGCTCGGAACACGTTGAGCAAGGTAGTCCTGAACCTCCTCAAGGTTGTAGTCCGAGTATGTGTCGTCAAAGTTTGCAAAGGCCTCGGGAGTCCGCACGTTCTGCTCGGGATCCAAGTAGCATTCCAAGCTGTCCTTCAAGTCGTCTAAGCTTTCGAGGTCTATGTCTTGGTTGTCCACCTTTCGCAGGAGCTGCTCAAGCTTGTTGACATGCCATCGATGTGACTCCTGCATTTTTTTGTTGAAAGCCGACTGGGACTCGTCGTTGGAGCTCTTGGATGTCTTCTTCTTCTGAAGCTGTTCAATGGCAGCGGTGAACTCATCAACCTCCTGCAAGAGCTGGTTCACGAACTCTCGAATCCAGGCTCTGCATTCCGCCCGCTTCTCCTGATCTGGGTCCATCCTCTCTTCGTTGTTCAGGCCCTTCTTCACGTCACGCTCGAAGGTTTTGTGTTTCTCCATTCGGGCTTCGATCTTCGACCTAGCCTCCGTTAGAGCTGACTTCTCCTTCACACTCTTGTCGGAGATCCACGCCGAGAGCTGGGTCCTGTCACGCTGAAGCTTCTTGATGGAGGCCTTCATGTTCTCCTCGTACTTCTCACGTTGGTTCGGCTGGCTCGCATGTCTGTGATTCTCCATCAGCCCGTCGAACTCCGTGATTCCCAAATCCACCTTCTTCAGCATCGCCTCGATGTCGCCCAGCAGTTTCTTAGCTGCTGCCATGGCCACGTGCGCTGCCACGGGACTAGGGCAATTAGTGTATATACAAGGCTTGAGTCCTCAAGCATCTGCAAGCAGTACAAGGTTTCTGCGAGCATCCTGGACGACAGCGATGGCTTTGATGCAATTTCTGGCTTTCCCTACATGTCTCTGGGTCTCCGACAATAATCGGCTAGCACGAGTGCAATGAGCACCCAGGGCTCCTGTTGCTCCTGCGCCGCTATGGAACACATCTCGTCAAGCTTTAACCTATGACCTTGCTGCGTCCTTCTGCAGGTGGTTCTGGACGGTGACGAGGCCACTCAGCACCGCAAGCCGCAGACAAACCTGCCACGCGTTACTAGACCCACTCAACGTCTCCCCTTATCCTGAGCTCCAATGATCTTCTGCGACTCTCCAACCCCCTACGCCCTACGCACTCTGAGACGGCCGGCACCTCGCTCACACGATAGAGCACGTGCAGGGGCTTGAAGAGGCGCTGCATCCACCGAGGTATCCGGCTCTGGGCGAGCGGGAGAACGGCAGAACCGACGCAAACCGGAGCATCGAGGCTTCGGGTCTGAGGTTGCCCGGGCAATCCTTGAAATCCAAACTTCCGTCACGCCTGGGAGTTCATCTGGTAGCGCTTCACCACGTAGGAGGAGACGGAAACATCGATGTCCACAATCCTGCAATCATGAGCCGGGACAGGGACAAATCTGGCACCATGTACATACCATACCCTACCCTGCCATAACATTAGGTTGCGTGACATGACATGACAGGACATGACAAGACAGGACAGGACAGGACAGGACATACATACGCAAATACATACATACATACATACGTACATACATACATACCTACAATATGTACACACAGTGACATACAGCGACATACATACATACATACATACATACATACCTACATACATACCTACATATGTACATACAGTGACATACATACATACATACATACATACATAGATAAATACATACATAAATGTATACATATATACATATATATATATATATATATATGTCAGATGTCTGTGTATACATACAGGAAACGTCGACCGCTTGGTGTCTGCCCTCTCTGACCGCGGGAGTCCCGAAGCTGACTGTCATGATCAGGACACAGGTGGTCAGCCACCAGGACTGATGGTCTGAGCGAGTCTGCACGTACCTGCAAGGCTCCTCTTTCCGGCTTGCATGGCGTGAGGGTTTGGATGGGTTTGGGATCTTGCACTGCCTTGGAGGGGTCTTATCAGGCGTTTGTGACATGCGATGGTCTGACGATGTCTCCGCTCACCTGGGTTGGCTTTGGGGGCTGTTCCACATTACATCACGGGCCTTCTGAAGGCTTGAGCTCTGACGTCCTAGAAGCGCTTGATCGGCACGTTGCCAGGGTAGAATGCACTCAAGTAGGGGCTGCTAGGGAGTGCTAGTGCCAAATTATCCAAATCTCCTTGGTGGCCAGTTTGCGTATTGTGCGGTATGCTTCAATTGTCCATGATCCCAGAATGCTGCCTGAAGAGCAGTGGCATTTCACATCCGACTATCTCAAGAGCGTACCGGTGACTCAACCAGCGGCATCCTGATCTTGTCCCCTACGTAAACTTGCACGGAGCACTGTGCAGAGATCATGGCGTGAAGGAGGAGGAAGGGAACGCCAGTCAACAGCGCGACCGGGGTGATGCGCTGCGCACGGAGCCATTCAGGGTTTCGGACTTAGGTATGGTTTAGCATTTGGCCTTTATCCTCGGCCTTGTGACTTCTGGGGCCTCCACAAGTATCACAAACTTACCCAAGTGTCGATATTCAAGCAGTGGTTTTGCGGGGAATACCGGATTGTGCTTACCTGATGATCGCAACAGAATTAAACACCACTGCAAGACACTTAGATGCCAGGAAAAGTCGCAGTACTGAGTGGAAGCTAGGGATCTGCAAGTTGAAATTGGCAGAAACAGCAATGGTAACGGTACTCATGAGGCACTAATGTCAGGACCGCAAGTGATAGCAACAACATCAACAACCATCGAACACACCCACGACACAATGGCATGAGTCGGAGAACTCCTCTGCTCTCGCAGACTAAGATGCCCAAGATTTCAAACTGTGGAAGGCTCAAGACACTTCAAGCAAGAGGGTGTGTCGAGCGAAGGTTCGGACTTTCGGGTGGTTTGGGAATGAGCCGTTGGGATCCAACCAAAGCTACAGCCAACCGAGGGCAACAATCGAGTTTCCCGACGATTGACCAGTGCCACCCGCGGTTTCGTGGGTCCGACCGCCCTCAATCCTCGAAAACTTCAAGCCCGAATGCCTCAAATTCCCCAAACCCGCAAGCTCTCAGAGCCTGCGAGACACTCCGAAGCCTCGGCAGCGCCAAAGTCGTGCAGGCTAGAAGCATTGGCCGCCCGGTCGTCATATGTAGACTCCTCGAGATGACATCTTAGTGTTCAGGGCACTGCGCCCGACTATGAAGGCGGTGGAAGTGGCATCACCACAGACCATCCTGGAGCAGCTGTCGAGGCTCTTCCTCAACCCCGTCCTTCCGCGCAACGCCGAGGTCGTTGTCAGACATCTCGATCACAACCTGCAACAACCATTCATGTACAAACTGAGGAGGCATCCGTCGCGAAATGCAGCAGCAAGGAGAGAGTTCAAAGGGAGAGAGGTGTCAGTAGAAAGATGCTTCTGGTGTTGCTTCGCAACAGCCTCGGCATCGTGCATCTGCCGGGACCATGCCCGCTTCACCTGCCGCAAGGATTGAAACATTCGTCTCTCTCAAGCTCAAACTGGCGCACCGCTTCTGGCCTGAATGACTTGGCAGCAGCCCAGGAAGAGAAAGGAGAGGATGGCCACAGAAACCTTCGCCCTGCAGGAACAAGTCTGGAAGGGACTTCAAGGTCCCTCTTCACATGAGCTCTGATAGCTCCCGCACATAAGGCTGTGGCCATCCAGAGGTGTTGTGCAGGATAAGAAGTACATCTGCATCATGAAACCTCGAGTGCTGCATAGACAGAGCTGGGATCCATCGAAAACGGAACATCTTTGTGACTTCCAGGGCAATGGCGTGATGTAGATGGACAGCAGAGCGCCGATAACCTGCACAGGATGCAAACCAGACGTTCCTGGCGGCTCCGGTGCTGAGGTTCGACAGCAATGAACCGAACAGAACAGGCTCCAGCGCACCTGTAAGGGCACCAACCAGACGTAGGCTGGAATCTCCAGCCCGGATTGGATGTACTCGGCAATGCTCCACACCTCAGCAAAAACAGGGGTAGCTGCTCAAGGTGCCTGGCCACCTCAAACAAGGAGTCGAGCGTGAGCCGATTTGTGATTCTGAGATCTGTTGGCTCAGACTCAATATAATGACCCACTAGAATGGTTGCTCGTTCCGTTCGAGTTGGCTCCTGAGCCGGCCGACTCCCTGCTTACGAGCCCTCCGATTCTGTAAAGATTGAAATCCTGAACCCACCACAACATCCGGGGGGTTGTCTTGGGCTCTCACCCGGAGTACGAAATCCCCGAGGTGCACCAGCGTGAAGGCGAGAAAGCCGCCATACCCTGATCAGGCTGAGAGAAAGGCTGCATGATCCTGCGACATCAAAACATACGCGAAGACATGCACATGTACGCAAGCATCCATACGTCCGAATCGATGCATTTATCTGTATGTAGACACGTATGTGCATGTATTTGTGTATACATATACATAGATGCATGTATGTATTTATGTATGTATGTATGTATGTATGTATGTAAGTATGTAAGTATGTATGTATATGTATATGTATA